ACTGTCTAGCCTTTACCCTCCAAATCCTCTTGAAGACTGATATATGCTGCACTAACCGACGTGAGTCCAAGGTAACGATCGCGATGCAGAAAATGCTCACAATAATGAATGACCAGGGCGGCCTAGGTGTTGACTTCAGTGCCAACTAAGTGAATGTCCTTTGCAGACCTTGAACAGTCAACGGTATGCAGCCTGAGGGTGTTTTCCACTTTCCGGATCCTTCATCAACTCAACATCGAGAATCCAAACCACCTCCTCCGGGTTCCTCGCTCAAAGGAATCCTGCATGGCGATGTCACCCTCCATGAACGATGACCCCACAGCGTGACCTGCTTGCATGAAAACCTCGACTAACCACCATGTTGTCGAGGATGAGGAACCAAAGTTCTCGAGATGGGAGTTCTGGGTGACAGTGTGAATGAAAGAGCGATGGCCAATGTTTGGCGGAAATCCAAAATCGATTCATAGATGGAGAGTGACGTGTCTTCCAGAGTTAAAGTGAGGGGAAAACGCGTACAAGGGTGTACCCCATGCAGAATACGCATCAGAGGGCGAAAGAACTCTTTTTCTTGACCAAGCGATGTCCCCAAACGAGGATACGACAGTGTAGAAGGGTGGTGAGTGATAGCTTCCGGGTGCATCAGAGATTCAACATGTCGTCAAAGATGGGGAAGGAGCCTGTGTAGGACTCGGGCTTGTTCATCATTCGGAAAGGCAACAAGTATTGAGGGATGGATGATCTGAGGACTGCGGTGTTTGCGTGTGTCATTGGTCGAGCAGGATAGGAGGGGTGCTGGCACAGTGACAATCAAGAGAAGAGAAACACGTTGGGTCTCCCTCCTCAAGTACGACAATGGCTCAGACCGGCGATATGAGAACTGGAAAAGGGTCGAGAAATTATCAATTCATCAGTCACTGTCGCTGAACAAAATACCTTCACTCACAAATGAACCTCTACACGAGATAACACATGAAAAACAACCACAACCACATCCAGATTCCACATCCTGAGGCCATTGAAGAGTTCGCGCGACTGGGGGCGTATGTGTGTAGATGAAGTCATGAGCTCAACCGACGGGCTTCATGGTGGGTAACGGGGTTCTTCTGGGTTGAGGGTGTTATATGTACAATGGTTGCAAAGTTGAAAACCCAAGGGTTCAGAGAAGCTGAGAGCGGTGGTGGTGTCGATTTCCATGTGAAAAGAGGTGGAGGTTCATGGTGGTTACGGACAAGGGGCATGGTGATGATAGGCGCCCGTGCTAAAACTCTCACCGACACCACCACGAGTTCCAGCTTTATTCGTGATTCGTCTTTTCACAGTCCACTAACACCAGTTGCTACTCTACGGTGAGTCTCGCCTCGCTGTCCTTGATATTTGAACGTCATCGCTCATGATTTGTTGTGCTACCTCAGCACATGCCACGTTGTGGAAGCATGGTATTGAACATGGTGACATAAGCCTCTATAACTTGTGTATCAGCTGGCTCCGCTGGCGGGTCCGAATTCAAACATGATGGGGACATTATGATTACAGATGCTAAGAAAAAAGTCGACTGAGTATGGCACTATTATTATCTGTAAGGTGGCTAGAAAATTGGTTGGTAGGGAAAACTTACTGTGTATTGGCAACACCATCATGGGGAAGGAACCAGCGTCCGCCATATCAAAGTGGTATGACGTAAATATACAGGGTCCTTCCTAATCTGTATGGCATTCAGAACAGATTCTGAAGCTGTCCCAAATATGGCAACTAATCACATAATGTGACCTGAGGCAAGTGGCCGGCCAAACACATTTTGGGTGGAATCAACAGAACACTCACAGGCCCACCACAAACGAGAAGCTCAGAAGATGAATATTGTAACACCGAGACGGGTATTTGTATTGTAATCTCGCTTTGCATCACAAGAAAATACAAAGGTACGGAGAGAATCATGGAGGTACTTGCGAGCCCCGCTATATGAGGTGGGGCAAGCATTGTCGGATATCACCTAAAAGCTAGGAATTTGTTTGGACTTAATACTGAGGGAGAAATTGGTCGGGGCAAACACTGTATGTGGAGCGTGGGAAGAACACACTAAAGATGGAAGGAGACGCCGGTAAGAACGGCACATCGCACTATTTATGGAAGAAAACTCTCACACTTTGAAATTTGGGTGAGAAATGGATTTCAGACCGGAAAAGCCTAATTCTCGTTCCTCGAATTCGGAACCTCATGTACGAAGCCGGCAAGACCAAGGACGATGTTCAGCCAAAGCTCTGCGACTTCGACCTTGCTCATTTCACGGACGCAAAGCGGCCTGCAGGCTTCTCCAATACTGGGACTATACGGTTCATGGCAGATAGCCTACTAGACGAACCTGCAATGCAGGGTAAGGTTTCCAGAACGTTCCGACACGACTGCGAGTCTTTCGCCTGGGTGTTAATCTGGGCTCTGGGCCGATATCGAAACGGCTCGAAGATTACTGATCCAAGAAATCGTCACTTTGACAGTTGGGTAAACACTGATTGGCGAGTGGTTCAGGCTGAACGAAGATCCTTTTGTTCAAGCACGGCGCACAGAACTTTCAAGATGGGAGATCTAGAGTCACTCGATGGTCTCTTCCACAGAGCCATCAAGTTCCTGCGTATCTTCACCCAGGCAACATCGCAAGTCGTTGATGCGACTGAGGAGAGGTCTTTGGTTGATCCCAAGAAGGAAGGAGCAGGTACTATCATTCAGGCATTGGACGAGAAATTGAAGAAACTGAATTCAATTTCCTACATCATGGGTGAGGTAATGACCTCGGAGCTCTTCAGGACCTACCTAGATAAAGAAAAGGTCAATCCGAGTTGTTTCGAGGAACTAAGGGTTTGAAATGTGCCTATCGCTTATCAGTAGTACTTTGCTATGGGTAGTTGGTTTAGTCTTGTTTTATACATCACTACGCGGATGAAAGACGACCCACGTCGAAGGCTTGCTGAAAACACTGGATAATGTCGATTGCTCCTCTACCTTCCACTGACATCCTCGTTTTGACTTTAGTTACCCAACGACGAAATCCAGCCAAAGCTCTGCGACTTACTATATCTCGTCCGTTTCACAGGCGCAGCGCGATCTACACGTTCTGTAATAAGACCTTACAGTTTAGACGTTTATGGCCAGCGGTTTAAGTATGTCGAACGGTCTCAGTTTCCATTGACAGTCCGGCATTACCGGGCGCCCTGGCTAGCATGATGGCCAGAAGGTCAAAAAGCTAAGGCGTAGACTGTGATCTTTCATACCTTCCAGACAGCCGTATATCGAGCCAAGTAGAGACTTAAAGCCACTCTGACTGTGGTAACGTTGTTGCCAAGACGCGAGAACATCCACTAAGCGCCCGTGTGACCGTGTCAGAACTCTTACCGAAACCATGACTGCGGTCCACCGTCTTCCACTCCCTCTCATTTTGACCTTATTCCGACCTTCTATTCATGTTCCATCACATCAGTAATGCCGGCTTTTTGCATGACACATCTAGAGAGAGAACGAGGACCCCCGTGGTGTATGGCACACCCCCAGTACGTCTTCCTTTGTTGCCGAACGAAATGTTTTGACTCGTCATACGTGGTATTCGGATAGATCGCACTAGGAACGAAGACATCCCCGTTGAAGCAACAGCTTGTGGATTATAATATTGGCTCCCTAAAAAGTATTTTGGAGAACGCGAACAGGTCTGAACGCTGTGGTGACCCTTGTTGGCTCATTATGGTGTGTTTACACCTGTCGTCATTGCGAGATCTTGGGTTGAAAGCTCTTCATATGATAGACATCATAGAAGTAGTCCCATATGAAGAGGCAGATTATGCTATGCTTCTCTAGACTTTGTACGTTCAACAGCAATCATCGACCTGGAGCCCATCCACTCGGCTGGGCGCAAGACAATCTGTAATCTGTTTGATCGAGCTGCAGAACTCTTCCCATTTATGACCCTGCGTCGAAGAAAACGCAGGAGAGAAAGGCCGAAGCTCGTGAGTCATTTATACATTCTCTGTCACTGTAGACTGTATGTGGAGAACTAGATAAAGAGGATCGAGCGTATTGGGTGGTATGGGGATTGTCCGAAAGTACGCTATTTCTCTTGGTCGCTTTTATCCTTTTTTCCACACTTTGCTATCTGCTTCTCCGGCTCGTCCCCCTGGCTCCTCGCTATCACTTACATGGTCGTGTAGAAGATTGTTCAGACGAGGATGATGAGCCAGAATATGTGGAGGCGTCAAAAACATGCTCTACGCAATAGTCCACTTCGAGGAATGTACATACAACTCCTTTGGCATAATCTACCACCGTCAAATGATGTTTCCATACTCATTCTCCGTATTCCTTACCTCCGTGTCGACTACTGTCGTTAGTCTACAGACATCTCGAATTTGCTCTACCTATCGTGTACGACAAACACCATCCTCCTTCTGTCAAATGAACGAAAACGTCACCGCGGATAGCTCCCTTGGGTGCTACTCCTACTAAAGCTTGGTGATTCTCCAAGGAGTGGATGCTGCCTAAGCCTGGTCTCGTTGAATCATGTATGATTGAACTGTTTGTGCCACCAAGGACGCTGAGGACACGGCTATAATGGCTAAGGAGATGCATTTAGTCGGGGCTGAGGGGTTGGCCAGAATCTCAAACTGTGCAATCAGCATACGATGTGTCGATTCGATGTATCAAAAGTTAAATCTCTCATTTTTTGTGCTCTTCGGACACCTTCTCTCGGTCGCCACGCAGAAGCTTCAGGTTCTTGAAGGAACTTGAAGTTTGTAAAGGCTATATCGAATGCACGAATCGCCTCCAGGATCTATGCCTTTCCAACCTAGCGACGTGGGACACCATTCTCATCAGGTGAAGTCTTGGAAAGGCTGGCTAGAAAACGTGACATCCGTCGTGTAGATCTGTGTCTAGGTATTGATCAAGATTTCAGCAAAAACTAACGTAAAGCATCGATAAGTTTCGCATTATGTACGCGCATGAAGGCCAAGTAGGTACATGGTCTAATAGTGTAGCGGTTATCACAGTGGATTCTGATCGCACACTCTCCAAAGATATATGACTTCCACTAACCCAGGTTCGATTCCTGGTTAGACCTATTATTCACCTACGTCTCGATTATTTTCTCGTTTTGTTCTTGTGGTAGCACCCCGCCAGAGGGTAGGCTCTTTCAACCCACCTGTTGTATCTTCTATGAAAATTTCTAAAACATGAGAGTTTTCGCACAAAACTTGCACTGAACAAAACATTGCTGAACGACATGAGCGTTGGAAACAACGAGGCGAATCAGGCTCAAGGATCACCGGCGGGCATCAAACCAACCCCCCGAGCGCTTGTGCAATCGAACCATGAGAATACTGAAACCGTCGGCGGTAAGAGTTCATGTAGTATAATCAGTCAAGTACCAATTCAAATATTGACACAGTACGAATATGATGAATTTCATCTTGCGAAACCACTAAAATCGTTCGTTCTACCTCGAACCCCACACGAGATCACCACAACAACTCATCAGTACCCATTCTCTCTGCAATCCACCTTTTCAGAGGCCCTAACTTAATGCACATCTCCGAAGCATAGGGAGGGTGGGCTTCTCAGAATCCGATGGGATTTCTCCGAGACAGCTCGAGAGCGTAGCAATTGTACCCCAACACTGGCACCGAAAGGTTTTCATCACAGCGGCGATTGAGGGTGAAGGCCATCTGAACGGGTTGAAGTGGACGGTTCGGTGGACGGTTCAGTGGCTGGAGGCTGAGAAAGCGTCGATAGAGGTGAGTGTTGACATTTGAAAACGGCTCGCATGATACAAGTTCCTGCGAGTTCAAAGGCCAACGGCTATCCCTGCAAATCTGAATCGGCGACACCTCTTGGGATTGACTCCAGATCTCTCAATTAGGCTCACTCTATCGGTCCCCAAGTTACTCGATCCAACGATTTGATGCACCTTAGGCAGCTAGATCAGTAATGAAATCAGGCCTCGTTGGGCCGGTTTTACCCCCGTGAGAAATAGGCCTAAGTGGGTCCGCCCCTCGTGGCCTGATGGTGAGGTGAATGCCCTGCTGCCGTGATGGGCGAGTTGCTCATCTGCCCCCACCATGGGCAACATTAAGGACGGCAGCAAACTATGCCCCCTGTCAGCCGGTGTGCTTGCAGCCCGGTAAAGTAGTATAGCGAGCAAGGCTCTCACGAGATTATCCTCGAGGGCCAGCGAAACTTCGCAAAAGCAAGCTCCAAAAAAGACCAATTTGCAACGAGCCTGTTGGATAGCACGGCTACAAACGTCTACAAACGTAGTAAATGACCTGCTACGCATTTGCTTTTGGTCTTAAATTGGGTCAAAATCCCGCTGCACCATTACGTTCGAAGGGCTTGTGGGCATGGTTTCTCCCCTTTCCAGATATCAGTATTCCTCTCGGGCAGGATGCATGAAGTTCACGACACACCATACTTCCGACCCGCGCACGCTGTGGGCCGTAGGAGATTGATAGGTGATGGCCCATTGTGGTCGAGATAATTAGGTTCGCCCATTTATTATTGGGCTCTTTATTTATTCGGCTAGTGGTTCCGCCCAACTAGAATTGGGCGAATTTAGATGCTTTTAAAATTCCCGTTTATTCCTCCCCTTCACATTGTTTACGGTGCTGTGGCTAAGTGGCTTGCGAAATGGTAGACCCAGCTGCAAGAGACTCACTAATCACGGTGTTCAGCTTGGGCACGCTAGTGAGCGGACAGATTGCGCAACAGATCCATCTTGCTCAATAATGAATGGGATCCGCCCATTTATTGTCGGGCTCTCAATAACTCGGCTACTGGCTTCGCCAGAATTCGAAATGCTCTACATATATATAGTGACCGTTCTAAACTGATGGCTTAGTTCCCGTAGAGTACTTGTTGGCGGGTGACCAGATAGCCAATGTATCTGAGGTTCGTACTTCACAATACATAATCTAAGTGATTCAAGAACTCAGTATAATGGCAATAGCGGCAACAGTCTCTCTATTGGGTCACCAGCCATGGCTCGAGCCTCGTTCGAGGAAATTGCCATCTAGGAAATTCACAACCGTCCCTGACCGATTGGTGCTTTTCGGACCTCAGCTGAAATCATTCTCTTATCTCAGCCCTCCGGCAACGGCGTTCATTTGAATGAACTGAAAAAATGATAAACAAAAGTTGTTTGACTCGACGACTATTCAACTAGTGAGTCCATGTGCACGACTCCTTCCATCCCGGATACTCTGTCCAAGAGTTCATACTAGCCGTATAGGGCTCCTCACATGTTGATATCTTTAACAATATAACATAGAACTATCAATTGAACAGGCTCAGCGACCTACTGGACTCTGTGGGTGAATCACCTCTCATTTCTCGGGGTACCTGTCTTGAAAGTCCGTGATATTGAACGTTTTGCTGGTATATATGACTTACGGGTGACCTGACATTAATTTTTGAATCTCAAATAATCGTGAGAGTGTGTATATACTCGCAGGATCATCTGCATTTCTTTGGCGAGCAGTTGTAACATGAGGTGAGTTGGACATTCTAGTCGAAGGTTGTTTGATGCAAATCGAAAGGAATATTGGTTCGCCAAAGGTCATCATTTTTTCGTTGGACGGTTTGGCGCTCATAGGCCTCACCACTACTAGATATTAGGTCTCTATACATCTCATACATCAACTTCCATGAGTTTTGTAGAGTGACACCGTGTTGACGACGCGGAATAGCGAATTCATGTTTTTTGGTCCATTGGCCGGCGAACCGGGTTCTGTGCAATAGCCGGGTTTTCTAACATATCCGGTTAAGCGCTCGCATGGTTGGCATGGTTTTTGGGTCCTTCCTTGGTCCTTCCTAGCCCTCCCATGTTTTTGCATCACTCAGAACAATATATCGAGTTATGTAGAGACAGTATGATGTGCATAATTCACTGTTTAGAGCCAGGAAACGTTGGTTAACGCCAAATTTGCTATTGCAGCACCCTTGACTCTCGAGCAGAGAAAATTTGGCTATCATAGTACAGAGACGTATTATCCATATCATTCTATCACGGGATGGAAGGTCTGAAAGGCACAGGGTTAAGGCGGTAGCCGCCCCACTAACAGGGAAATCAGAATTGAGAGGGAGAGATACTATACAACGAAACATAAGAGAAGTCAGAGTGTTGTAACTAATAAATGAAAGAGGACAAGCTGTAACTCTTGGGAGTGATAATATGAAGTAAGCTGTGATTCGGATTGTTTCGAGTCGAGACAGGAAAGAAGACTCAAGGCTAACAAAAGCATCAGGATGGCTTTTAGTGATCTGCTAGGAGAAAGCGGCATCCACACACCATCAAATGCCAACAACCGGAGCAGAAAGATATGAGTAAAGGATGCTGACAAGTTTCTGACCTTTAGAGCTTTCTGAGGCTGTATATGCGGGCAATATGAGAAGGGGTAGGTTAGTAAGGCGTACGACGCGTGCAAAAAGGGCTACCAGCGCCAATTCTGAGAGAATATTGGGGTGATCTGTGACCACCGGCGACTACTGAGATTGATTAACAACCCTTATCTTTATCTGAGAGGTCTCCTTCTGTCCTTCTGTCGCTGTCAAAATGGACACAGTTTCACATACAGAGCATACCGCGTCTGGTGCGCCGAACCTGGATATGAGCATTGGTCACATAGCCGAGAATATAGTGCGCACCTTGGCTTGTAACTGACCCCAGAACTCGCAGAAATCCTTCTTCCAGCTGGAAATCCTCTGCCCGCACGCGCCTCGTGTCCGTTGTCGAGGAAACGATGGGGACCCTGCCACCCAGTTGCCTGTACATTGCAATGCTCTGAAAGCCCAAAGACCAACATAAATAGAGAGGTAGGATTCACTAAAAATATGTCTCGAGTTTAGTACATACTATGATTGGGAGAGCAGGCAGTGGTCGTGGTGGAGGGAGCACCCAGAGGGCGACGGAGAATGCGGCGAGCACGCTAGCCCAGGCATTTGGAGCAGGTTTCCCACACGGAACCCAAAGGCGGCCAAAAGGCCGAGGGGCACAAAGAAAATTCACTGGTGACAAGGGGCACCCCCTCTAAGGCCAATTTCGCACGGGGGTCAAATGGGGCCTAACATGATACTATTCGCTACCGAAGTAGCTGCCTGGGCTGATCTGATGCACGGACAGATCCGATAGCGTGTCCTGGCGGTCCGCTCGTGGAGAGAGCCGGGCCTTCGACTGATTATTTTAGTCACTCCCGGCCCCTCGTCGCTCGAATCCGTCCTTCGACGCCTTCCATACGTCCCAAACGTCACCATTGCTGGCCGCCCTGATATTTGCTGTAGCGATTACTGTGCATAGCTCTCGTGGATCATATGGAAGCCTCTCACAGACTCTCACGACGTCCTCAATCCCTCTTCCGCTCTCAGTATGCTAAATGGCGTATCTTTGTATTCCATCCTCTGATTAACCATTTGAGGCTGTTTCTGTACTCCTTCTGGGTCCTGTAGTGCGTTTGGATCGTTGCTGGCCATGCTTCAAAAAGATCTCGGCTGCCAAGGAGGCGAGATCTGCAGCTTTGCCTGCATTCGTCTTAGCGTCCTGCCTCGAGGAAGTAGGCACACAATATGGTATATTTTTGGTCCACGCGATTCATCACGCCCTCGTCTTATCTCCATATTAGATTTGCTTCATCTCGTGTGCACTTGCCAGGTAGGGGGCCGAATTCAATTCAATCAGGTGCGAAGAGTAACACGCGGCTCACTTGCTCACTATAGGACCTGGCGAGCATAAAAAGAGCCAAAAGTGCACCGAATTCCTTCAGGATCTCAGTGTCCAGAAATACCTCTCTCACTCGGCTTTTGGACTCCTGTACTCGAAGAACACAATGGTCGTCTTGAACAAGTTCTTTTCGTCTGTTCTCCTTGCAGTTCTCTACGCGTCGTTCGGCAATGCTGCCCCCTCGACATCGTCTGCTAGGCACACGACCCACCGTGTTCGTAGCATTGGGAGTGGCTTGAAGGTGGAAGCCTTCCACCCTCAATCCGACTACAAGGTACGCACACCATGTTGTCTGCAGCACTTCTTGACTGACGCGATCTATTCGTCCGCGATAGACCTTCGGAGCCGGT